ACTGTATCTTTGACGATTTTTTTTTTTTTTTTTTTGTTTTGTAGGTAATTTAGTAATCTATCTAATTATCATGGGTACAACCAAGTAAAAATGCATACTTTTGAGTTATTCGCAAGTAAGTTTCTTTTTCTTCATAACTTTTTCCCCAGAACTTTCACGGAGATGGAACTATTTTTCGCATGTGAAGGAGAAGAATATCTTCTAAATGATTGGTCAATCATTGGATTTTATGAAGAATTGACGAAGTTATGGCGTACCGACAAAAAAAACACCTGTCAGAAATAATATATAGGATGGTAAAAAAAAAAAATATGAAGTGTATAAATATATGTATAAATTTTATGTTCAAAATGTCTTAATAATAAAATTATGAATAACATAAAAGTGACCACCAGTGACTAATACAGATTGCGACAGCACACATCAAGCAACATAGTTCCACAGTGCATTAAATATAAGTACTTCCCATAAAATAAATAACGAATCATTTGAAATTAAGTGACAGCAAGACGATCTGCTGTCTGGATCCATGTAACTTCCACGACCAAGGAAAAAAGAGACTTGATTTCAAAAACTGAAAGTACAAGACGGATCTATCCAGTATGTATGGATATTAGAATGGTAAATGAAGGAAGTAGTTAATTTACCTAGAACCTGATGCCTTGTAAGAAAACAACGTTGGACACGCTCTAGAACTCGGATGTTTTGTACAATAATGTTGTACCATTGTTTCTGAAGACGCCAAACGAAGAAAGTTCGAAACAGATCTGGAAAGTACTGAGATCACATCTGGAGGAAGCGAATTCTCTATAGGGATTGGAATAATTATTGCAAAGTAATTTTGTTAAATTAAAGAAACTAGATAAAAAGAAATGGAATTCGATTAATTAGAAAATTACTTAATTAGAAATATAGGAAATTAATGATACAATATAGTTAATCACATATATTTCAATTTTAAGGTTTCAGTTCATAGAATAAAATTTATAAAACAGTATAGGTCGACAAGTTACGTCCGATTTTTGTAAAAATACATGTTCTTCATTTTTATTTTTTCACTCAGATTTTTGGACATTCATTCTGAATACGTCAAATGACCCTGATTGCCTCTTTTATTTGTCAAGCAATATATTTAAAACGTTTTCTATGAGTTTTTAACAACTCTATTATCACATATTGGGACATGTCGGGTTGAACGGAGTAACCAAACTTGCTATGTAAGGACGGATGGGGCTGGAATCCCCACATATATTATTACAGTAAGGCTCGAAATCAGTTTTGTACCAAATATAAGCTCCTGTCATTCTCAAATACTATGAATGGGGTAACGTTGGATTCAGAATTTCACGGGGTGTTAGCGAATCGTATTCTCCACTTTTGTTTTTCTCTCTAAAATAAATAAAGTCGATACAAACATTTTGCTAGGTTTCAATACTGGAACGGTGGTAGGTCTGTAGATCGAAGCGGGACAAATTGGACCTTGAAAATGTTGATGCGTACAGCAAGACCCGGATAGTTCCTGCGTTTCAAGCCACAAAACGTACTATTTTCGAGATAACACAAGGCATGGGGTTCGCATCCACCCAACCTGGCGTTAATTGTAGTACTGTTATTGGATACATGTCTCATTTTGTCGATATGAGGTCTCTATGATCGAGACAGAAGGAGTTTATATTATTTATCGATGGAGTTTTTAATCGGCAAGCCATATCATCATTAATTCTTCACCAAATTTCAAGATAAATTTCGAAGGTTTCCTTCTCCTTCAGAAAAGAAACTTTATTAGCGAATAACTAAAAAATTACACACGATTATTCCCATGATTATATAAAACATTACTAAGTTGTCTACAAAAGAAAAAAAAAATCATTGAAATCGGAAAATTTTTCGCAAAGATACAGCATATTGAAATTTGTAAATATGTTGGTTCCAAACAAAAATGAAGATTTAAATTAATTTTGTTTCCTTTGTCAATTATATTTATCGATAAAGTAACAATTGATTCCTTTATCTTTTGCATTATTTTATTTTCTTATTAATTTGGCATTTGATAACAATATGCTGTGCGAATTTTTCGCACAGGCCTACTAGTCCTTAAATAAATAATTTCGAAAATATTGGATCGTGGTGGAAATTTATAGGTTTGGAGGTAGTGAATAATATAGAAGGCCTATGAAGCAACAGTGTAGACAAATAAATTTTGCATAATTACATGTTTGATATATTTAGGTTTTAAAAAAATTAAGTTTTACTTTAATAATAGTTTAGTATGTAATACTAATGATACTTTAGTATGTAATCGGTGTTTTATTGACGCATTGCCTCAATGATTATGAGGATTTTACACATTCTTTTGATCGACACTTAAGTATAAATCAAATAATTAAAAAAAAAAAATCGAAACAAACCATGGTTTACTCATAGATGAACGAATCTAAATTCAACCTTTATACGCACAAAAAAAAAAAAAAAAAAGTCTATCTGTAGTCAGTGTATCACATTCTATTGTTGTAAATTTATGTGTAAGTCTGTGTCAAAATGAGAAAAGAAATCTAGTTTTGTCAAAAATAAATTAATTTCATGTAATTCTATAATTATAAAAAATGAACTAGAACTACTTTAAAATATAACTGTTTTAAAATAACCATTGGACGAATGAAGTTTTCAAAGTCGACAGAATGACGAATCCAAAACCTCAAGATTCTTTTTTTTTTTTTTAAATCTAAGTGATCACGTGAGAGAGAACTAGCCAGAATAATAGCCTGGTGTACTGTGATCTTGGTTCCTGACAGCTGAGTCGTAAAACAGATAAATTTATGTTGAGAGCATTTTCTTTCTTTTAACACCGTTTTTATGACTTCTTGAATGTGTCTCCTCTCATACATTGATCTAAGATACTAAATTTTTTCCAAATTTTCAACTGTCTTTGACTTATCTCTGCATCGCAGGTCCCTTCAGATTTACTGTTGGTCGAATATTTGTTTTATCAGTATTCGTTTGGAGACTTAATTTATCATTATTATTTATAAGGTTCGCGGTATTAAATTTAAATGATTTATACTGCTAATATAGCAATCGGTAGAATTATTTGAAGTTTTTTATCATTATCATTATTGTTGTAGCTCAAAATTATTAACAACCTTTAATTTATTTTAATGATATTGGCAGCATTCTTTTTCGTATAACTGATTCCACTATAATAAAAAAAAAATTGTTAAAATTTACATTAATTTTATTCATGTAAACTTATGCTTCGTTATATTCTCCGCCTTATTTATGGTAAAATTATTTTTTTCATTAAAAGAAAAAGGTTTCAATTTTCCCTAAGAAACCCAAAATCGTATTATTATCACGATGATATTAATTCCCAATAGGAAGTATTAGTCAAACAGTATTTTGGAGAGAGAGGAAGAGTTGTCTCACATCTACAATGTAATCCTTTTTAGATTCTTCTAAATTCAAAACAGTTCTGTTTTCATCTTGCCTGTTCTTCGCTCAGAATAGATTTTTCCGAGCAAAGATCGTTGAATATGGTAAAAGCATCGATCCCCTCTATACTCAAAACACGCCTTTGAGGGCCTACTTGCTGAGGGAGACCGGAAGATCGCCGGAGAGGGTAGAAGAAGTGGTCCGTCTGAAAAGAAGAGCAGGAGGCTGTGCGCACAGCTGGAGGAAAAAATAAATAATGTTATAGGTTTCATTGCAGCAGTGCGTTACAATGCAGGCATGCGTTGCTAACCACTGCTGCATAACAGCCGTATTCCCTTACAGGCAGAGTAGGGTTTCAAATAAATAAATATCTTGCCATTTGCATTTAATTCAAATACAATTACAGGTTACCATTAACGTGTTAAAATTGTTGAACATAATATAAGATATTATACATATTGCATAAGATACAGAAAGGAAGAAGTTTCATAGCTTCTTCCGGCAGTATAAGATGAAATGCCTAGATGATGACATACAACCAAGGTTGAAAACTTTCTTAATCGAAATAAAAGCTATTATAATAATATATATTATGTGTCTAATGACCGCACCACTACCAACTTCTCCTTAAAATAGAAAAAAGTAAATCTCTTATATATTATTTCTATAAGGTGTATTTTTGTCAGTAAGCCACAACTTCGTCAATTCTTCATCAAATCCAATGATTGACCACTCATTTCGAAGATATTCTTCTCCTTCACATGCGAAAAATAGTCCTATCATCCCAAAATTACTGGAAAAAAATTTTATGAAGGAAAAGAAACTTTATTTGCGAATAACTCAAAAAGTGTGCAATTTTTCTGGATTGTCCACATGATTATTAGAAATATTACTAAATTACCTGCAAACAAAAAAAATCGTAAACAACGATTTGTATTTCGCAGAAAGACCCTCAATCAAATACAAATTTTCATAGCGATCGAAACAATGAATCAGGCCCAAGATACCATGGAACTATTCTCCTCCATTTACCTTTCCAATAGATTTTTATTTCGTAGGATTAATGTACCTTCTTATTCGCGTTAAAATCTTTAGGACATAATTTATCCTGTCTTGATCCGTCGATTTGTGTTACAATTATTGAAGGAATAAAAGGATGGAAATTGGGATTCGTCACTTATCTTTGAAATTTCCTTCAGTTTGATACCTCATTGATAAAAATCCATCGCTCCTAGGAACCGAAAAAATAATCCATTTTTTCTGACAGTGAAAAACTGTAGATGGTAAATCTTAAGTTTATATGTTAGACATAACAGACAGTTCACAGAAAATTATACCAAGTCAAAATTTTTAAATACGAGGCACCTGTAAAAACACGCGTTCAATTAAAATTATGACGAATCATCATCAATTAATTTTCGTCGTTATTTCGAGCAAAAAATTTATGAAGGGGAAAACGAAACTAACGAAACAAGGTAGCAACAGGGTAGGGTGGAGAGATAGAGGACAACTGAATCCTGTTAGGAATGGTTCAAAATGTATCGGCGGTACGAACCGTAACGACATTTGACATGAAAGGCCTTATCTGTCTATTCAGCCGGCCCTATCTGCTCCTCCCCGTCCCTTCCCCCCCCCCCCACGTCGGTTCGGAGCTCCTCTCTCTACCAAAAGGGACGTCCACCGGGTTCCAGATCACAGATGGAAAAGAGGATCTGACCAGGGCAGCCTTTGTCCCGCTGATGGCCGATTTACCGTCGGGGTTGGGAGCAATGTCCGGCAAAATTAAACGCTCAACAGACCGACCTCACATATATATATTTTTTTCTAAAGCCCAATAGAATTTTCTATTTCCTAGTTGACTACATAGATGTTCATATCATATTTAAAATAGGGTTTGAACTTGAAATACCATTAATTACAACCTCACTTCTTTTTAAAATTTAATTTTAATAAATACATATATTATAATTAAGTATGTATAAGATACGAATTAATAAGGATAAATATGAATTTTCTTAGGACAATGTAGTAAAAAAAAGCAGTCAAAACGAAACCGCTAATTTATATATTACATATAAAAACATAAGATATTGCCAAAAACGTCGAGGCGAGAGTCCTTCAGTGGAAGATTTGCGGAAAGGTAAAGATTCGATACTCAATTGGGTCAGTTAATATTTATTTTTTGTAATAAATCAAACGCTCCCAACGTGGTTAAGTAAGGTAAAAACCCCTATCCAGGAGTTGGTAAAAAAGACAAGGTCCAATTACCGGACTAATTACCTCCATCAATACCAGTACTTGTACATACAAAGCCTACATAAATAAAAGAAAGATAAAAATTGCTTATTAATTTCGTGAATAATATGTCCCACAAATGAAAATACCCATGGAGCTGAAATTTTGAATGGTAGCTACCCATATAAACGCAACGATGTTGGGTCTGAAAAAAAAAATATTCTGTAAGCAGTTAAAAAATACTTCTAAAATCTAAAAAACAACATATTTTACATATTATCAAACAATTTATATATATATATATATATATATATATATATATATATATATATATATTATAAACCTGGTTTGGAACATAAATAAATCTGGTTTGGTGTATCAAACAACATTTACATAATTTCGTACATCAAACAGCAGAAATTATTTTAGTTTTTAATTAACAACATTAAAGCCTTAACCAGCAATGATCATATCATATTCTCCACGCCTGCCTAGTTTTCCATATACAGTTCTACAGACAGCATCTTTGTTGATCCGATATATCCGTTTGATTTTCAGGCCTGCAAGAGGTGTTTTGCCTACAATTGAATCATTTATTGTTGTGTAGAGACTTCCGACTTCCTGTTGGATTACCCCGAGCTACATGCTTCTCTCCCCATCTTAATCTCATTGCCTTTATATCATGGAGTATTAATTGACTAGATTCTGTAAGCAGTTATTTATTGATCCTTTTCCCTTCATTCGTTAGTACTCCCAGTAAACGTGAGGCAAGATTATCAGATCATTCAATTTTTTTTTTTTCTAGAGTGCTGAATAATGTCTCATAGCGATATTTCATAACTGACCTTATAAAAGCACTTTACAACCTTAATTTGAGATTTCTGGATATTTTATTACCATTATAATAAACTATATTTCCATACATGGTTAGGTAAAATAATAATTATAGATAATACAATACATTCATTTGAAATAATGAATTAGTACATGTTTCCCCGCCACTCTTATCACCTAACTTTTTACGTCTTTTTTTGTCACTCGCCCTTATCTTCGACTAATTTATAGTTTAGATATATTATTTTGCAAATAAGCTTTCCCACATTTTATAATAAACGAATTTTTAAAAAAATAAACACTTCCTTTCCGTGTGGCATCACAATGAATACAATATGTTATCGCATCAAATTTTTATTTTATTATTTTATAAATTTTAGACTACGCAGCAAATATAATTATAACGGAGAATTATAGAAAGGTGGTGAAGAAATTATTGAAGTTTGCCTAAATCGTTCATATTAGGAGCATGTTTTGAATACCGAATACCGTTAATTTCAAGAAGAACCTAGCAGAATTCTCATTGAAAGTTCAGAATCAAGTACTAATAGGCAAGTACTAAAGTACTAAGTCAAATAAAGAAAACATTAAAAATAAAGAGACGCGATGAACTATTTAATCGAATTAAGGTAAGTACAAGTTAGCTTTGAAAAAAGACACATCTATCGCTTTCTCTATCGTGAAGCGAACAGGAATGTAGTTCAATTTATCGTTCAACTTCCATATTAGAACCGTTGGGATGGCCCGTCGTCATTTCTCAGAAATGTACAGAGAACAAGTTGCAGAGGAACAAGTTTTCTTTCTTTCTTCTTACCTTAGTTCGAAAAGAATGGATAAAACTCTTCGTCTAGGAGCGAGAGAAACCTAAAGGATAGCTTTCTCATTGAACGATTGAATTCGATAAAATTGAATAATACATTTTCCTAACAGAAGGTTACGTATATAATATAATACAAATAATAATTATGAATTTTAACACAACAATGGAAAGAGGTAAAGGAGAAGCCAGAGCTAATCAATGTACTTTTATCTTGGAGAGGTAAAACAATAAATTATGAAGTAGACAATTGTTACATGAAAACGTCAAAGAATCCAGAGAAAAGCGAGATGAATTTGGAAACCATTACAATTATAATGAAGCCGAACCACCTAAGAACAATTAAAAATATAAAAAATAAGATAATTTAAAGTACAAGATTAGTCATATTAGTAAATACAATACATCTTTCGTCTTCATTGCAGAGAAATCATCCTGATATTTAGTGCAGATAACTTTGACGTTTCCTTCTCTTTTTATTTAGCTGCCTCTAAGCAAAAGATTTTAATGCCCCCTTTATTATTATTAGTTTTAAACCCACAACGAAATCACGCAGGTTTCTTGTTTTTTTTTACTTAATAAGTGGCTGTTGCTGTGTGAAATGGCTCTATTATTATTATACGATATAGTCATATTATTATACGAGTTAAAACAAACAAAAAATTGTTTTGAGGCCTAAGACGATTCTCTTTGACTCCGCCCATGACTGAACACCGTGGTAACCGTGAGATTATTGCTCTTCTTTAAAATATATCATTGTCAATTATTTTTGAAAATCAAATCTCTACCGTTTGGTAAAAAATAAATATTTTGTACCGCTCAAATCTGTATGTTCTATTTTTTCGCACCACAAATTCTTTCGCCCCTCAAAAACTGACACTTAGGGCAAATGCCAAACATGTCTCTTTATAAATCTAGACTTGGCTTTCAGCTCGGAACTTTAGGATATTAGTAAAACATACTATTATTGCAAGATAGGTAGGAGAGTGAATGGAAAGATGTTGATGGTAGTTCGTTAACTGTTCTACATTTAATCACTAACAACGTGATTCATCCCTCTTCAGGGCTGAACATGATATTAAAGATACAAAACTAATAGTACATGCTAATTTAGTATCTCTGGTGTTATTTTTCAATATCGAAGGAGGAACAAATGATTAAGTTGAAACGTAGAGAATAAAATATTGAAGATCTTTACATCCATGGTGAATGGGTCTGAATCCAGAACAGAACTTCAAAATATTCAAAACACAGTACCTAAATTACATTAGCCTGTAACTACTTGAGAATGTCACAGTCCGGTTTGGAATACCTAAATTGAGGTTGTGAGAATTACGAATGGCTGACCAACCTCCAGCTTATTACGGTCAACTACCAACACTACACGGCGGGCATAAGCGATGACCTGAACAGGTTAGGAATTAGGAAGTAAAGAAAGTAGGTATAGGTTTACTCTAGCACAAAGAAGTGAGCATAATATAATGCAGCACACATTTTGTATAAATCAGGAATAAACTTTTAGGAAAAATGTTAGGCTTAGAGAACCAATTATGAAGAAAAATGAAATAAATCGTCATCTTAGCTATCTATGCTATCCAGAAAAACGAGAAACAATATTATTAAAATATGTTTTTAATTCCAATTATATGTTAAGAAAATTTAAAACTAAGGGGAATATTTAAGTGCTAGTTTCACAAGAAACTGATTGCGGGTTTTACTTCACCGGATTTAAATCGAAGTACTTGTTATAGTTATCAAGGGAACACAGGCAGAGATCTACGGGGAGGTCTTTCGGGCTGAAGCTCCCCTCCCCCCCAAAATGATGAAATATAATCATGTTTTATGAAAAAAATTATCTCTAAAAGTATTACGGTTCTTCTAATTACATTTGATAGGACTTAAAGAAATCACTTAATGACCATTTCATGTAAGTAGTTAGTTACTTTCTTTCTTCCGAAGTAATTATCGTAATATATTCATAAAAAAAAATCTTTCGGGCTGAAGCCCCTCAAAATTAAATCCTGGATCGGTTAGTGCAAGGAAATAAAACTGAAAACAGTACGGAAACTAATTAAATGCAATGACAGATGACGCATAAATGAAAAGACCATAACTAACAAATTTCTCCAATTTAATTAGGGAAACAATAAATTCCAGAATGAAATCGCAGCGGCGTTAACTTGGCAATTGGTTCTTTGCATGATATCGTAAATTTTTCATTAAGGGTATTAAATAAATAAAGATAGGGTTGATATGGCACAAAAGGGAATTTAAAATAAACATATAACCTAAAGAAACATACAAATCATGATTATTATTTCAGAATTCAATCTGTTGATAAATACATCTTTTAGTTTCTGGTTAAAATTTGAAATTTCTTAAAAATTGGGCTTAACTATTAGATTTGTTATTAAAAAAAACATAAAAGAACAATATTAATATTATTTTTGTTAATGAATTAAAACAAATAAAAAAAAAGGCAGACAATACTTTTAGCTAAGTACAGTGAAAATATTAAAGTTGTAAAATATTAAGTATATTATATTTTTTTGGGGGGAGGGATGAGGGAAAGAATGTTTTTCAGTTATTTTCTGTTAACTACAGTTAAATTTCTAGGGGTAAAACATTAAGCAAAATGAAAAATAATGAAGTATAATATATATAATTTCTATAATTCATAATAAAAAGATATTATTAATGTAGTCATTATTAATGTATTACATCTCCACTAGAAAAATTTAACATTATTATTGGGATAAAATTATTCTTTTGTTATATAATTCTTAATGTTATTTTTATTGACAGTTTACAGTTTCTAAAATAATAAAATCTTGTAGATGCAACTCATGCTAAAACATGCAAATAATCTTTTTAAAAAATTCTTACTGCTTCAAGTCTCTTCACATTTTCAGTAATAGCAAATTTTAAGAATTTATAATAAACGGAAAAATAATTTTTAAAATCTTTCTACACATTGAAAATTATTTCTATTAAAACATTAATGACTTATACTTCTTTTTATAAAACTATAAATCATCTATAAGTTTGTTTTAACCAGAGATGGGCAAATGCTACTCTGAGTAGCGATTACCAAATATTTTTTTCAAATTGAAGAACTACTGGGAATTTAATCACTACTTCAGTTTGTCCTTTGGCGTCAAATGAAGTAGTAATTAAATTATTTGGTACTCAAAAATATCAGTATTTGAGTAAAATACTTGGCACAGAATATTCAAAGCAGCAATTGCCCATCTCTGATTTTAACCAAATTAATTCAATAAAACAACATTATTTCAAATACTTGAAAGATCAGAAAGAAACTGATCGAAATCAATCTTTGAAAAAACAAATTAAACAATAAGATATAATCAATATCCAGTTATCAATAATCAGTTTATTCTTATTTTAATACTGTGATGAAAAATTCTTTTTTAACTTACAAATATGACATACATAATCACACAATAACTGAAATTTCTTTACATACTTACATACTACCTACTTAACTATCTGATAATTAAGAATCAGAATAATAAAAATGATAGGAGGAATTAATGTAACCATTAAAAATGCATGAAAATAACTGATAAGAACTCTGTAATTAAAAAAACTACGAAATACCACAAACTACAAATGAATATAACATAATAAAATGAATATATGCATTCCCAACCCTACAGTTTGTTAATTTTATTGCTATATTATTCATGTCAATCTACATATGGGATAAATGATCACCGAGGTGCATGCGGAGATACCACTTATCTATCATTTAATGATTCCAAATGTAGATGTTTTGTTGTTAGACTACTTATAGTAAAAAGTAAAATGTATAAGAAGTATACAACATAAATGCTTTATAATGTATAAATCAGTAATTATGTTATATTAAAAGAATGTTAAATATCAAAATAAATCTTCCTCATTTTTAAAAGAAACCCACTAAAAAGCCAGAATGATAAAGATAAGGTATAATAGAACTATTCAGAAACAAATAGAGAACCACATATATGTATATTTTGGCACAAACTAAAAGAAAATACAAGAACTATAAACTTTTATTGAAAATATTCTAAAACCGAGTGAAATAAATAACAATTGTATGTTTGTTTGGGGCTCTTATCATCACTAAATAATCATTACTTAATAACCGATAGGTGATATCACTAAAATTACAATCAGAACAGTTTAAATTAATGGATTTAAGGTAGTTAAGGGGATAACATAACTTCTAGAGGTGTTATCTATTGATGCTTGTCATACATGTAATACATTTTTTAAAAAAAATATTAAATAATAAGGCTTACCCGAATTATTGGCTCATCAATTAAGTATATATCCTTTCAAATAAGAAGATATTCACGGGTGAGCCTCCCAACCACCACAACACACCCCAGTTCCAGAACTAAACTGCAATACTGACTAGTTGACTACTGACAAGGCTGTTCCTCCCTGCGTGTCTCCCCCCTCAAAGTAGGTCAATTCAAAACTTCACAGATCTACAATTCTATTTCACCGTTAAACGCTGTATAAACTGGTTACTTCTTATAAATTATCATTAAATAGTTAGTAAATCATTTCACTACGAAACTCTCTCCGATCATAGTGCTGTACTTACTGAAAAAAAGATAATTTTCCTATCAGAAATCCGGCTGTGAAGTGAGGGAAAATTGATTAGTTCCATCTTTGCCCGCCCTTTAACGTTTTAAGAATTTTTAATGATAATTATGTGTAAAAATGTCCAATTTTTAACTTAAAAATTAAAAATAACGTTTAATTATTATACTTATATCATGAAATATTACGTTTTATGAAATTATAGTTTATAATCGATTTTATATTTTAACTTGTTATTTTTACTAACTAAATATTTATATTTTAAATTAAAACCATTTATAAAAAGATATTATAAAACAAGAAACCGTTGTTCAAAGATTGAGAAGGCAGCCAGAAGTAATCAATACAATTTGGCGGGTTATTTGGTATGATGTCTCTTTTTCTCCATAAAAGACACTCTCTTCAAGAAGTTTAACACTTGTGTAATTCTTTCT